AAGCGAATTATTTCTCATTTCAAAATAGAACTACTATATTTTTGCACAAACATTACCTTTATCCATTCAAGCCACCCCTTAACCTGTAACTGACGTAGCGATAGGAAAGGAGATTCTTATCATATGCTCTTTCGACATTTGAGGTTTCTAGAACTTCTTTGACAAGTATATCAATACCATCAGAAAATATACTTAACACTTTTACCCAGTTTAAAGGCAACATACTGTTATAAGAATGGTTTTAGTTAAATTTATAACACAAATAAACACATTTTGTGCTAAATAGGCATAAACATTTAGATTCAGAATATTTCTTTTTTAATCCGATGTAAGACTTGAATTTCATTCATGATACGGATTGTCTCTTGATTTTTTTTTTGTTTACCTTACACTAATAGAAAATTTTTATTTTACAAGTTCAGCTTTTAACGAAATAGAAATAAAAACTACGATACACCTGCTGTTTTTAAGAAAAGGAACTTTGATATATTTCTGGAAATGTAAATGCTTTTAGAGTTTTCTTTCAATAACGTTGATTTTCATTACTTTACTAACTTCAATAATTCTCTTATTAGCTAATATGAATGAAAGAAGATTGTCAAAAATGTGACACAGTATAATTCTTACGAACATACGTACCTTTACCAGCATACAGATATTACCGATTGAAATGAAGAAAGATACAGATATTTTACTCCAATCTACATTAAATTAAAAAAAATATTTAAACTTTCATACATTCCAAAGAATAAACGAAAACTCAATAGATATTGTCATGTTTGTATATATGAGATAAAAGTTTTATGAATGGTATTTAAAGTAATGCTTAGAACTTCATAAAAGCGAACATTCACTATGTTAATACACATATCATCAGTTATTTACATTAATCAATGTAATATTAATCATTACATGTACTATATGCATATATATTTAAAGTTTAATTGTCTTACAATTGAATAATTAACTATTGAGAGAAAGAGGTTCATATCTTACACTATTTAATTCACATGGAACAAATTTTTCCATCAACCACATTGAACCACGTTTATTAAATTCGCCAAAGCTCTTTTATTTCTGCATTTTCACACTCACGACACATTTTAAATGTAACTATTGATTACCATTTCAAACACCGATATCATAACTCAGTGTAAAACTACACATCATAACTCATTTTTTTCCCTACTAACTACAATTTTATATATTCAAGAAGTACATCTAAGACATGATCATTTTCTATGTTCTAGCAAATCGATTCAATTGCGAACATACTATTAAGACTTGCGATTTTAGAAGACTTGCATGTATTAACGATGTCAACGTTTCTTCGTTTTTGTAAGATTCACATCAAATCATGTCGCATTCGAATGTGGTGTAAGAGATCACTTTTTCTTTTAAACACTTGTAAACAATGGATGCAATTTATAAGAAGAGAAGTATCATGCTGTTTCAAAACATCATCATCAGCATATTTCTGTTTCTTTTGACACCGGCAAATTAAAAAAAAAAAAAAAAAAAAAAAAGGTTCGTGAGATTTTCTTCAAATTCTGTTTTACTTGAAAAAATGTCCGAACATTCAATACGATGTAAAGATTCATATTGTTTTAAATTCTTATGCTCACTAAATATTTTTTATCACGATTTACTCTTAAAAGTAACTTTATAAGTTTTCATATCCTTTTTACATGAAAAGAACTTGTGATTATTCACTACAAAATTCTAAGTCGCGACTTCTGCTTAGGAACTCAGGATTTCGGAAACTTGAAGAATTTTGCATCGATCATTTCATTTTCCTGGATGGTGGTCTTTCGAAGCTGTTTTTTGCTTTTCTTATGAGTAGATATTGTCTGATGAATTATATTAGAAAGTCACTGAAAGCCTATTGCAAATATCGGACTTGAAACTTTCTCTTGTTGATTTTAACATTGTTTTCCACTTTTCTTATTTTTAATTTCTCATTGTAATCATTATCATTGTAACCTCTCTTATTGCATTGTGGGTGTCGTGAGTTTAAGTTGATAGCTTTGCTCAGTGTGCAGTGTCAGTACGGAGTTGCAGTTCATAGATGGTTCACAGTTCATTGACAGTTCATGAAAAGTTCGTGGATTGAGTCAGAGTTCACACATACAGTAGAGTTTACCAGTTCCAGTTATGCCATTTTTTGATTTGCATAACTATGGGCGTATTGCCTAGGTGCTAAATCAGTACTGATCCTGATACACTAAGATAGTCTATTGCATAAAGGCACCCCCATTAGAGAACTGGCGTTTGTGCCAGAGAAGGAGAAGAAGAATCACTTATATCAGTTATGGTGCACACAAGTTCTAGGCCGTGACGATGGAGTGTGTCAATTATGTTTTTGATACTAATGTGGACTTTCCGGTGCTTTATCAGTAAGCATTTGAAGTCTGTTCCTGGTGCTGTGGGATGGTGGATATGATGGTCTGCTGTTATTGGGCATTGGAATAAGTAATGGTCTGGATCACCCGGATTGCCACAAACGCATATTTCAGTCTCTGAAACGTTTCGTTCATAGAAGTACTTTGGGTACGGTCCATGACCAAAGATATATTGAGTGAGATAATAATTATAAATGGTGCGCTCAGTATCGAGACATGGAAGAAGTGAATGCGTCCTTCTGCCTTGCGGTCCTTGGTTCCATTATCTCTGCTACTGTTCTTTGGCCATCACTTTTAGCGTAAACTTCAGTGCAGAGCGTGGCCATGGGATGTGGAAGGTAGTGCCTTTTAATGTATGAGGGCTGTCTGTTTTGCCAGGAAGTCCGCTCTTTCATTCCCGCCGCAATTGCTACGACCTTTCATCCATGTAAGAACGAAGTTCTTTTGGCTGGAATTGATAATTGTTTGTTACTTCCAGCCAAAAGATATTGTATATTGTTGTATTATTGTCGAGCTATTGGTGAATTTGTGCAGGGATTTTTAGTAGCGTAGATTGATGATTGGCTGTCACTGACGATCTCTTGCATACTGTATAGGATTGCTATCAGTTCAGCTTCGTGCACGCTGTTTAGATCTCTAAGGTGCCCTTGCCATTCTGTGTGTGAGCTAAGGTTGTATTGGATGGTTGCAGTTCTGTCAACCATTTGTTCGATCTTTGAGCCGTCAGTGAAAGCTGTGTATTCAGTTGTGGGTGGTGGTTTGTCGAAAATGCAGTGCAGGTTTTGGAGATTCAAAGCTGGGTGATGAAAGTACATTTTAGGCTGATCTTCGTAGTCTGTTGGGTGGAATGTGGTATTATTAAAGTTAGTTGTTTTCTTGAATTGGAGGACTATTGCGGAGATTGCGTACATTTGTGCTTGGATTGGGAGCGGGAGCACACCTGCCATTGTTTGTAGGGCGTTGTTAGAGGTAGTTGAGAATGCTTTGGTGATATTTATAAGGAAAGGTCTTTGTATGGCGTTTAGAGCTCCCACCTTTCTGGTGGTCATAGGTATTGTCCAAATAGCGGCTCCATATGTGATGATCTTGTTCACCACGGTTGTAAGTAATATTTTCATAATTCGGTGGTTCAAGCCTCATGAGTAACCAAACATTGTCTTCAGAGCTTGTGCTATTTTCATACTGGTGAGTTTTTTATTGTGTAAGTGGTGAATCCAGTTGAACTTGTTATCAATGGTAAGGCCGAGGTAGTTAATCGTTTTTACGCATCGGATCCTCTGGTTGTCTATTTTAAATGTAGGATTTCGAGTTATAGTTCGTTTCGGTTTGTGGACAATCAGTGACCGCGATTTTTGGTGTGAGATCTGTCGTTTTATTCTTTTGCACAGAGCGTTAAAAATTTGAAGGTTGCTATTGCAATTTTCCTGGAGTTGTTCTCTGTTGCTGCCGTTGATGATGACATCGTCTACAAATGCTACGATTTTTGTGTGGGCAGGCCAGAAATGGTCGACAATATGGTTAAAGGTGAAATTCCAGAGGTCCGCGCTCATTCACGATCCCTGTGGACATCATCTTGCTTGCTGCTTTGTGATGACCGAGTTGTTGTGGAGTACTATGCTTTTTCCATTATGCAGGTGGTCAGTTGTTAGATAGAGGTATCTTGGACATTGAAGGTCTCTATGTGCCTGCTTGACAGCAGGCCACCAGAGGGAGTCAAAAGCGTTCTTCAGGTCGAGGCATAGCAACGCAGAGTGTAGCTGTTGGCCTTTGTTAACTTGGATTTGCTTTAATGCTGTATCCATGGCATGAATGGTAGAGCTATTCCGGTTTAAATTCCGAATTGATAAGAGTGATTTTTATTTTCCTTGAATGCATGGTATTTCAGTCAGATTTATGAGGAGTCTTTCGAGTAATTTTCCAATAGCTGGTAGAAGATTGATCGGACATATGGATCCTCTGGATATTCTTGATTCTTATTCTTGAGAAGAAAAGCACTATTTTTCCAATTTTAAAACAATCGGGAAAGCAGTGGTGAGCCAGACATTTGTTGTAAAACTTGAGCAGAATTTCTGGAGATGCCTTGTTGATGAGCTTAAATACTTGGGTATTAATGCCGTCGGGGCCTGTGCTTTGGCGTTGTTGTTAAGGGATTTTACGATTTGAAGCATTTCCTTTCTTGTGAATGGAATGTCATCTGGTGTGTTTGGTGTTTGTGTGGATGCTCTTAGTTCTTTTTGCTCCGGTGTATCTTCTGCACTGTCGTCTTGCAAGAAGACTTGGTTTAGGATACCGTTGATGGTGGTGCTCGTGAGGTCCGTGCCATTACTTTGTGATGTATTGGTTGTTGCGTGGATTTGAGTTGTTTATAAATCTTGGAAGTGGTCATTTTGTAAAGGGCTCCATAGGTAGTTTGATTTTTAGTACAGTAGGTACTCTAGGATTTTAGTTTTGCTTCAATTAGTTTCTTTTTGTAGATCGCACGTTGCTTGTTATAGTCGATCCATGCTGCTTTGCGTTCATCGTCGTTCGTTCTCTTTTCATTTTTCGTCTTAGAGCTTTGGTTTTTTGGCACTCTGCTCGTAGTTTCTTGGTCCCCCAATGGGGCTTCGTATTGTGGTTGATTATTTTGATTTTAAGGGACATATGGCTGATTTCTTGGATATGCTTGGTAAGAGTTGTGGCATATGCATTAGCTTCATCTTTGGAGTAAATGCTTTGAATTTCATGGAGAATTATATGTGCTATGGAGTTCAGAGCAGTAAATTTCTTTTCTGCATTTCAGTTGATTCGATAACGTAGCGTTTGAGTGTGCGGAACCTCGAAGGCGATTTCAAAAGTAATTATTTGATGGTCTGAGATGGACTCATCTTCGCAAATGCGACGATTGTTAATCCTGTTGATTAACTGATGGGAAGAGAGTGTAAGGTCTGGCCACCCTTTTTCGTTGATTGTGACAAAGGTTGGCTGGTGTTTTGGCGAATTGTGTAGTATGAGGTTATAGACGATGATGAAATCTTCCATCAGCATGCCTCTGGTGTTGTTTCGGGGATAACCCCATAAATTACTGTGGGTGTTAAAATCTCCAGAAATCAAATGTTGGCGTGGGTGTCTTTGAAGTATATGGTGGAGATCGTGAAGTGTAATTTCTAGTTCCTCACTTGGTGACACGTAAGTGCTGGTAAAGTAGAGATCTGAATTTGATGTTGAAATTGAAATAGTGATAATATCTCTGTACTTCTTGATGACTATTGGTGACCACGTCTTGTTGATGATGTAGATGGCAGCTCTGGGTGCTTGAGATGAGTCCGTAATTTCGTGCAAAATTACATTCCGTATCGTCGGCAGGTTTCGTAAAGATCCTTGGTGATGGTTCTTGCGCCAGGATTATGTCATGGTATTGTTCTGAAATGTACTGAACGAGGTTGTCGGTGGCAGTTTTGGAGTGTTGGAGGTTAATCTGAAGTATCGTAATGCTGTCGTTGTTTGTTGATCGACATATTAGTGCCGTTGGAAGGTGGGATGATGCCGTTGGATGATGTAGAAGTCAGATTCATGGTGGAGTTACTCATGATATTGTGTGCGATTACGAATTCTATTTACTTCTTCTCTGTAAGAGGAACAGGAATTTGTATATGCAGGAGGGTTGCATTCGTAATGGGAACCGTAGTGTTTGTTATTTATTTCACAGTTGATGCATGTTGGAGAATCTGCGCGACATTCACTTTCTCGATGTTTTCCACCGCAGTAGGCACAATGAAGGGGTTATGTGTAGTCCTTAGACCGATGGCTGAAAGCCTGACAATTAAAACATCTATAGGTACCTATAAAGACCAAAATGCTGCTGGTGTGCCAACCGAAGTGTACGGAGCGGAGGGACATACATTTTTGGAATCCAGTAGGAGAGCACTCCACGATCCATTTTATTGTATTCATTCTGTCTTTGAGTTTAAATAATGGCTTGAAGTTGATAGTATCCATATTCGTGGCTTGTGAGAATGTTTGACAGATGTCGTCAGCTGTTATAGTCAGAGGTAGTTGATGTATAGCACATTTCGACGTTCTCATCTTGGGAACTTTGGTGTGAATTATCTCTGTGGTCTTTTCTGAGTGCATACGTAGGCTATCTAATATTTTATTACGTCGTCTTCGGAGGTACAAAACATTGCTATTCTACCTTGTTTTATTGGGATTATCTTTTTGATAGCGGAGGAAAAAAATAGACAGGGGGTTAGTGCGTTATCTTGTTAGAGAGCGGGGAGGACAAGAGAAGAAATAAGGTGAAATTAAGAGTTTACGTCAATTGGGGGAGGGGAGAAACGGGAGAAATAAAATGTTAATTTAAGAGGGGGGAGGAGAAATTTAACGGAGGAGTTAGTGTTGCTGGAAGCTAGGAAAAAAGGGGAGAAGAAAGGAAGTGGAATTTTGAGTCTACAGAAAGTAGGAGGAGAGTTCTAGGAGAAATTAAATGTGAATTAAGCTATAAAAAGGGGCAAAGAAGAGGTAATGGAGGGAGAAGTGAAGCGTGTTATTAAAAAGAAGACACTGAGGTGGGAGGAATGCAATAAGAACTGGAGCGCTAAGACAATTAGGAGAGATGATATAGGAGTTTGAAGTTTTTAATAAGAGGCTAATATAATGATTGACGATGGTTCTCAGGGTTATGACTTGGAGAGACTGCTACATAATTAGGAAGATGACTTTCGAAGGAAAGACTTGCAGACAGATGTAGCCGAACTGAACATAATCTTTATTGCTGGACACGAACTAATTATCGAAACCATATTTTTCATTGCGCAGCATCGTGACGAATTATGCACACCACAATTTTATATAGAGCAGGGGTAGGCAACGCGGCGCCCCCGATCCATTTTTAATGCGCCCTCGCTGGACTAATGTAAATGTATGATAGCCAGAGCGATTTACTTACTCTTGTCAAACGGCGATATACAGCAAGTACTGTCTGACCACGTATTCCAGATCTATGTAAACATCCGGTTTGGGGCGGAAGTGGGCACATCTATCAGTTATGTAGGGGTGAGTGCAGTAGCCCGGTGGACACTAAATGTCCCCTGACCTTCGATTTCACCCACACCCCTTCGACCTTCGAGAGGGAAAAATACCCGCGCTTTTCGCCCACACACCCCCTTCAATTAAACTGAGACCCATCTTGGCCCTCAGCCAAACTGCTCTCGCTAGCGTGGTTAGACAGTAGTCAGTTGAGTTTAGGATTGTGCATAGATTAGCAGTTTGCTAACCTTGAGCGTATCTAATAACACGCACGTATTTTTTTGTTAGTGTGTGATCGTATTTCGAATAGACCACGCGTAGACCGTGCATTTAAAACTACCAAGTAATCCGAAATAATTCTTTTCTTTCAAAACCCTTCATGGATAAATGTAAAAGAAAAAGAACATATTATTTTAACGATGAATGGGACTATCTATATTGTTTCGTTGATTACAAAGGGAAGTGTATTTGTTTGTTGTGTAATAATAGTGTTGCGATTCCCAAGAAAAGTAATACTGAACGACATTTTAAGACCGCTCATGCCAATTTTGATAGTGACTATCCAATGAACTCTGAAATTAGAAGAAAAAAAATTATTTCTTTAAAATCTTCAATAACTAACCAGCAAAGTTTTTTTACTAAACCACTGCAACAACATAAAGCAGCAACGATCGCATCATATAAAATATCGCATTTGCTAGCTAAGAATAAAAAAACCATTTACAGATGGAGAATTAGTGAAAGAAGCCATGTTAGAAGCTGCTGATTCACTTTTTGAAGAATTTAAAAATAAAAAGGAAATAGTTTCAGCTATAAACACGTTGCAATTATCAGCACGAACTGTTACTAGAAGAATTGAAGTAATTGCGGAGAATTTGGAGGCAGAATTAGCAAATGATATGGAAAATTGTATTTTCTTTTCGCTACAGATGGATGAATCGGCAGACGTGACAAATATATCACAATTAGCAATTTGCGTGAAGATGGTATTTTCTGATTTTACAACAAAAGAAGAATTCCTTAAAGTTCTGCCATTAAAGGGAAGCACCAGAGGAGAAGATATCTTTTCTACTTTTAAAAAGTATATAACAGATGTAAAATTACCTGTACAAAAGTTATCGTCAATTACAACAGACGGGGCACCAGCGATGACTGGTAAGAAAAAAAGGATTTATTGCCTTATGTAGACAGGATTCCTTATTCCCGAAATTTATTTCTTATCATTGCCTCATATATCAGGATCAGGAAATGTTATGCGCAAAAAAACAATCGGTTTTCAACACGTATTTACGATAGTAACAAAAATTATTAATTCCATAAGATCGGGAGCTATGCAACACAGATTGTTTAAATTACTTTTAGAAGATGAGGACGTTCAGTTCACAGATCTTCTTTTACATACTGAAGTGAGGTGGCTGAGCAGAGGTAAAATACTTGAGCGGTTTTATCATGCTTTTGCCACAAATAAAGGAATTTATTGCATCAAGAGGCGAATTTTACGAGCAATTAGAAAATAAGGATTGGCTAATCGACCTCGGATTTCTGACAGATATAACGGCAAAGTTGAATGAATTAAATTTAAAAATACAAGGGAAAAATCAGCATATCGCTGACATGATTAGTGCAGTAAATGCATTCAAATGCAAGTTAGTGTTGTTGAAATCCCATCTATTGAAAAAATCATTATCACATTTCCCAAATATAAAATATACTGTTGAGAGTTTAAATTTGAATAATGAAAAATTTTACTGCTACATCATTATTAGAAATTATAGATAAGCTAATAGAAGAGTTTTTCTTCTAGATTTGAAGATTTTGCAGCATTAGAACCCGTTCTAAGATTTTTCATAAATCCATTCAATGTTACTGAAGATGATGTCCTTGAAATAGTTTCAGTGTATTTCGAGCTTCATAATATCGAAGACCTAGAATTAGAAATAATAAAATTGCAAAGTGATATTATTTTAAAAGTGCATAGTAATGATAAAATGTTTTGGAAATTAGTCGATGAAAATAAGTATCCTATTTTAAGGAAATGTGCGCTAAAATTTATTCATATTGTGCAACAACATACAATTGCGAGTCTTTGTTCTCAAATATGAAATATTTGAAATCAAAATACCGAACAAAGCTTAATGACTCACATTTAGATAATTGTTTAAGGACCGGGAACTCTAAATATATCCCCAATTATAAGAAATTAGCTGAAAATATGGACACCCAAGTTTCACACTGAATTATATGTATCATTATGTATGACACCAACAAAATAAAGTTATAAAAAATCTGTTTTTTTTTTAATGCCTATTTATACCTGTTGATTATCTGTAAAATATGCGCCCTCGGTGATTTTCAAATTTAGTATTGCGCCCTTAAGGACAAACAGGTTGCCGACCCCTGATATAGAGTATCAGATTTAAATAACGGCGTAGTTAGCAGCATGTCAGTGCACAACGAAATGAAAGAGCGTCCAAGCATCAATAGAACTACAAGCTAACCGCGCATTTAATCCAGTATGGCAGTCTCGTAAGAGAAAGGTTCTAGTTCTTAGACTTAACGTCATCAGCGTTAATCAGGCCATGAAAGGAGGATTGATCTAGAAATGACGCAAACCAAAGAAGTTATTACGATTTTTAGAACAGAGAGGGAGAATCAAAAGGTTACTGTTAGTTTAAATTAAAATTTTGATTTGCATACTTTTTTATCTTACATATATATTGTATATACTAATTTAACAAACATTCTTTATTCGTAAAAAGCAAATTTAAAGTTAATTAAATTTATTTTCTATTTTTCCTTACTTTTTGGCCAGTATTTAGTAAGTTGATTAAAATGTGAAATTCAGTTTTAATAAATTAAGATATTACAATAATTTCTGCTTAAAAACATATTTTTTAAATTTTTCAAAATAAATTAATTTATTTCAAAAAAATTTCGATTTTTCAATCCTTAGTTTTACATTAATAATTTGCAACCATTTTTTCACGTTACGTTACAGTTAGCATTTTTACAATTTTTTACACATTTTTACAATACTTCACAGTTAGCAAAATAATTTTTGCAACAGTACACATATTTTACATTACTAAAAGTTTACAGAATACGTTTTTAAAATAGATCTAACAGATAGCAGCTTAACACTCAACTTTACCTTATATCAGCGCCCTCTATTTATAAAGTTAGAAGAAACACACTACTTAACATCACTTAGTTTGGCATGCTGCTCAATTTTCCAAATGCAGATATAGTCGGTAAGTTAAATTAAACCTTACTTTTTACTTGCCTTTTTAGTATTATTTATGTATTTCTTATAAATAGTTTCTTTCTGATTTATTTGCATAATTCGTGTCGGGGAAGTTTTTTGTGGGGGTCCGGGGGGACAGGTCTGACCTAGTCTTCATTAAAATTGCAGGGCGAAACCCACAAGAGTCGCACAGTCTGTCTGTCATAAGAAAAGCTCTCGCCAGTTAGTCTGCAGCTCTCTTGCCGTAGAAACGAGTCTTGACCCATTTTCTGTAGGGATATCTTGAAGACGAATGATAAACTCTTTTCCCCTCAGCCAACAGTCGCCAAAAACAAAATAACAATAAAGCAACCCTTGGTTAGTCCCCATTCAAAATATACTAGCTCTGTTGCTATAGCGACCCCCCCCCGCCAGACACTTAGCAGGACTGTTCTGCTGGTACTGTCACCTGTATGGTGCTCATGGCTCTTGTCAACGACAGGTGCAATTTTGCACTTGTCGGTGAATTTCGTAGGCTTGAATTTCCAATTTGAATTTCGTAGGCTGTTCTGATGTTACTGTCAGAGAAACGAGATAAGTCATAACGACAACATGGATTCAATGGTAGATCAATAACCTGCGATGGTCAGCGAGAGCATGAAACATCTTTGGTGCAGTGTTAAAATCTGAAGATTTTCTTTCTTTCTTTTTGTTTTCGTAGAACTGACCAGGAAATTGTTACGAATGAAGAATAATCCTTTTGTTGCCTTTCAGTTAGATTTATTAATAAAAACTGTACATGCATTTCTATTGCAATTATCGTCTGCCATTGCTGGAATACTATAATTACACTTGATACAGTAAATACAGTTTTTTTAATGAAAAATTTGTTAACGTTTTACAAAATATGAAATAAATAATAAAACAAATTCGAAATTCAAAATTCAAGCTTCCAGGCGCCCATTAGTCATGTTTACAGTGTTATGCAAAATTGGATGCCTGTAGGTACAGTTGTTTTTCACAATGCGGAAAACATGCATACATTCATACATATCCTTCATTGTTTAATTTCTTTAAAAATAATACAGGGCGATAATATTTGATGGCAACAATCTGAAAAGGGATTGAACGCTTTTACTGATTCGACGCAAAATGCTGTTTCGAGACTAATAACCCTTCTACTTAAACGCTCCTTCGGGCTAAAAATGCATTTAATTCATAACCTGTCTAAATAAAATATTTAATATTTTCATAAAATGAAGTTACGTGTTTATTTTTAATTGTTAACCCAAAAGAGACTGTTAGTTTCGAAATGGGATTTTGAGTCGGATCACTATGAATGACGAATCATTTTTAAGACTGTTGCCACCAAATACTGTCGCCCTGTATTATTTTTAATGAAATTAAATAAGCGAAGAATCTGTAAGTATATATGTATGTTCTTCGTATTGTGAGAAAAAAACGGTCTGAGAGCCATTTCGAATATCGTAGTTCTCCACTCGAACATGTGCACAAAAATGTTTTATTTCGTACAGTATTGCCAGTGCTCGCGTTCAGATTGTTGAGTTTGCTAATCAAAAATTCATTAAATTTCTAAAAAAAATACGGGAAAAATAAAATTCGAAATTCAAAATTCGAACGCCCAAGTGCACGTGTCCGGGTGAAGGAATACGTTATTCAAAATTTGATGGCTCTAAGTACCGTCTTTTTCTCACGGTGCAATGAACATACATATATACATGCAGATTCTTTATTATTTAATTTCTTAAAAAATAATACAAAGCGATAATATTTGGTGGCAACAATCTGAAAAGTGATTGGCCGTTTACAATGAACAGACACAAAATCCCATTTCAGGGCAAATATGCCCATTTTGCGCTTAAAACTCCTGTGCAGTCGAATTACAGATTTCTGTATTTGATAAAAGAAATATAGGCTGTAAAAAGAGAAATTGTAAACACAACACATAAAGCACCTCAAAGAGGCATTTCTGTTTTCGTTTGTGGATTTGGTGTATTGGCAAAATAAAAGTATTACCTTTGGAGGAAAATATTTGTTGCAAGTCCTGTGTACAGTCGATCCTATGAAATAAATGCAAAAGAGAAATAATTAAGAAATTATTATGAAGTAAATCTTGAATAAAGAAGTTTAAAGTAAAGTTTATTGTTAGTATTATTTAATACAAATGAAAACTTTTCCTATCTTAAAATAGCGCAAGACATCTAATGTAGAAAGCAATAGTTAAAGGGGGGAAAAAATGTACACATGCCCTTTTTTTCCAGAATTGTTTACGCATCTATGTTATCTTTGAACCTGTGTTATTTTTTTCCAGAATAGTTTGCACGCCTAATGTTACAAAGGAAATTATTATCATCCAGCAAAAAATTTTGTAAAATTATAATATTAATCATTGGAGCTTTCACGCTTTTATGTGTCAAGATTATCATAAGTTATTTCAGAAAAATTATATATTGCTAAATCACATCCTTTTTTAATAGCATCAGAATGAAGGGGGGGAATTGTAGATTCTGTGGTAAATAGAATTCTAGACATATCTTTAAGCAAAATATATTTAAACTCTAAAATCTGTCTTCTTGTTACACGAAGAAAAATGCTTTACGTTACGCTAAAAAAAGGCGAATTAAAAAGGTGAAGATACGTCGAAGAATAGTTTTAGCTGAATTGTGTTGTCCCTTCTTTGAACTAGTTCGATTCTTCATCTTATGATTTTCTTGGAAGCAGAAGCTTTTATCGGAGTCGCACATACAATTATTTGTTACGTTTCGCTTCCTGTGCCGATAACTGTAACTGAGACTGTGGGAAATATACTGCGTCATTGCGGAAAAGCAAAGTCCTCTTCCACAAAATGATCAAATGAGCAATTATAAAGAAAATGAGCTTAATTAGGCTTAAGATGCGAAGTTAGAGTTAG